CAGAGGACAGTACTGTGTGGGAGAGATGTGAAGGGGGCAGAGGACAGTAGTGTGGGTTGGGGGGGATGATCTGAAGGGAAGTTGAGGACTGCTGAAAATAATGAGAGTGTGTGATGTGAAAGGGGTTCAGTACACTACTGTAAAGGGGTTGGTGTGATGTGCAAGGGACCCGAGAAACAATACTGTGAAGGTGAAACTGTTGTGAAGTGGGGGACTGTGATGTGTACGTGGGTACTGAGGACACTGAAGTATGGGGATTGTGATATACAGTAGGAGATGGACGGAAAAAAAAATGCGGTTCGGACCTTTTTTGGAAGAAAATGTTACTGGTCGGATCTCCATGAATTTTAATTCAATACCTCTGCTCTAGTATGTAGAAGGATACATCTTAACCTCAGGATTAAAAGATAAGCTTTCTTAACATTTACAGGTGTAATATGTAACATGTTATTGATGCAGCAGCCCCTGCCCCCCCCCCCATTCCCTCTTGTGACAGCATGCCTGCTGATCACGGATGCAATGCTTTACAGGCTCCTAATAAGGTAAAAAAGAAAATGCACATTTTTTACCTGCAAACAGATGTGCATTTATTATTTTATTTTTACAAAGGTGAACTTATCCTTTAGTGTAGTGGTTCTCAACCCGTGGAACCTCAGAACCCACATTTGTTTTTTTGTCATTAAGACGCGGTCCAAAAATAATTACATTTCCGAAACATTATAATTTATTCCACAAAACAATTTCTGCAGTATTCTACAATGTATATGCATTTTTTAAACTGTAAACAAACGGCTTCCTTCCAAAATGGATAGTGTAGTAACTACAGCACTAGTGAAAATGACAGTGCTGTTGAGGTAAAAACCACATAAAATAAACGGTAATTGAAACATGTGGAATTAATTAGAACTAATGGGAAAACTGGGGATGCTTCTTTCTCTTGATAAGTGGCTCAAAATCTGCGGTTATGGTAGGGGCATTAGAGAGACCTAGGGGGCACTTGCCCCGCGGACCAGTCTGCCTCTGGTGGCAACCCACTTTTGGGTCATGATCCATTACTTGAGAAACACTGCTTTAGTGTATGTACTGATGATGGTCATTTGCTACCAACTCTTCATAATAAATTAGTATATACAGCACATACTGGTACATATTGAACACAAACAGTTCAACAAAGCAGTTTTTTAATAAGCATTTAAAGAGCGTAGAATAATTTACATTTGACTAGAATAAATATTTATCTATTAAATCTGCTTGAAAAGAAATGTTATTTTAAGACCTACAAATTGTAAAATTTCCCATTTGAAATAAGGAGGAAGGGTCACTGAATTATTGTGAAACCCAGAAAAACAAGCTCATTAAAACAGAGTACAAAGAAACATAACACGTCTCTGCATGACAGTGTTTACACCACTGAATTCCCTCTAAAAAGGGCTCTGTAATGTGCCATAATGAGGCAAAAATAGATGGGTACGGTTTGTGATCTGTAATTCAAAGGGCATAAGAGAAGGGTGGCAAAAACAGCTAAAGTGCATTTAATCAATTAACTGGGGATAATTTCCCTCCTCTCAGAAGGCATTTAGATATAGGTTCATGCTGGTTTGGGAAACAAATTCTCTTTTTACATCTAAAGAAAACCCACTCATTGAGCAAGAAAGAAAAGTATTTTCCTGTTGCTATTTCTAATTTTAAACACTGCAAAAATGTTTTGAAATAAAGGAGCTTAAAAAAAATAACACTTTAGCGTTGCTTTTGTCGTGTAATTAAAATTCCCGTGTGTGCATAACCTATGCTATTTTTAGCTCGTGTGAGTTGTTTAATGAAAATGTGTTTCTGGGAACTAAAGTGATCAGCTGTTGGCGACTGAAAGTTTTTAATAAAAGTGCTATATTGTTTTGCTAGACTTTCCTCTGCATTTAATGAGTTATACCTTTTTAGCGAAAAATAATTAAGGATGTGTCTTACCTATGTGCTTTCAAACAATCTTACTGTAGGGGTACTTATAGTTGGGGCAAGATTTGGGATGCTTTGGGTTTTCCCAATATGACACTTGTGATACAGTGCTTTAGTGCCAGGAACTTTGGCTATATTTTATTTAGTTTTGTCTAGAAAAGTCAATTTCTTTAACACACCTTCCTGCCTGGCTTATAGCAGATTGACGGTCGGGCGGGACACTCGCCGTCTTGACTGGGCGTCATATGTCATCCTGTCAAAACGAGCCGTTCACGCGGCCACGCAGTGGCGCAATATGTCACCGGCTGTGTCCACGGGACACAGCTGATGACATATCACTACACTGGCCCGTTGCCAGTGTCGTGACCGCTGTGACCAATCACAGCAGATCACATGTCAATTGCATACAATGGATGGCTTCCTGTCATACCATCCATTGTATACACTTATGTTGTTAGCTGTGACTGGTCAAAGCAGTCTCATGATACAGACAGGGCCAATCACAGCTGTATCATGTGATCAGCTTTGCTCAATCACAACAAAAGACTGACTGAATCAGTTTCATTCAGTAACAATAATTGCAAATACCAATGAAATTCATTGCTATTAGCAATCATAATGTGTTAAAAAAGTAGTTCAATGTTACTATGGTAACATTGTATTGCTTTGATCACAGTGTGTTGAAAAATAAAATATTAAAAAAAAGAAAAAATTTAATTAAAAATAAAAAAAAAATAGAAACATTTGAAAAAAAAACAAATTTAATTATTATTTTCACTAGAAAATGTATCAGAATACATTTTGACCTAAATTTATGAAGAAATGTTATTTATTTGCAAAATTTTATAACAGAAATGAAGAAAAGTGCATTTTTCTTCAAAAGTTTCAGGTGTTTTTTTTTTTTTATTTGTGTGAACAAAATTCTAAAAATGTCATATGGGTACAGTGTTGCATGACCGTGCAATTGTTATTCAAAGTGCGACAGCGCTGAAAGCTGAAAATTGGCCTGTGCAGGAAGGGTGTATAAGTGCCCGGTGTTGAAGTGGTTAACAAAGTGCGAAATGAAAACACATATCTAAACTAACAAATATTTAAGATAATTGTATATGCCTTACATATAATGCATATGTACTGAAAACTAGGGATGCACCGAAATTTCGGCCACCGAAGCATATCGGCCGAAAATGAAAAAAATTTATTTGATACAGGTGCCAATACAGGAGACTGTGTGTACTGGAGATGTGAGGGGGTGGCTGAGAAAGGCAGGAGAGAAGCAGTGTATACAGTGAGGGAGCAGTGTATACAGAGAGGCTCCCTCACTGGCTGTCACTATATGTGAGTGCCGGTTTTTAAATGTAATTACCAGCCTTTTTTTTTTTTTTTTTCTTCACTATAGCTCTTGGTGTTATAAGAGACTTGTTCATGAGACTTTAATTATTATTTATTTTTATAGGAGATATTAGTCTGTTGCGCTATACTTTGTTATTCATTTTGGTACAGGTGTTTTGAAGTCACTAACTGTGTTTTTTTGCAGCAACTATTTAGAGCACTATCATAATATTTTGGGGTGTGTTGTGCTGATTGAATAGGGGTTTAACCATTAGCTGCCCGGCTAATGGCCGTTCGGCGGCCCGCAAAATCCTTCTGTGTTCCGGGTGGACACGGCTGATGACAGATCTGAGTACCGACTCTGTTGCCGGTACTATGTGACCAATCACAGCAGGTCACATGACAGTTGTATACAGTGGATGGCTTCATTCATGCCATCCATTGTATACTAGTGTGCCTAGCTGTGAATGGTCACAACGATAACATGCACAAGCTGGGCCAATCACAACCCAGCTGTGTCATGTGATTAGCCATGGCCAAATCACAGCTAAGCACAAAAAAAAAAAAAAAAAAAAAAAGCCCTGAATGAATCGATGTAATTCAGGTAAATTCTTGCTTATAGCAAAATAATTCTTTGCTATAAGCAAATAGTGTAAAAAAAAAAAAAAAAAAAAATACTGATCACTTCCCCAAAGTAGTACAATGATATTATGGTAACATTGTACTACTTATTCAAAGTGAAATATGAAAAAAAAAATATTAAAAAAAATAAAACAAATGTAAAAAATAAAAAAAAAAAAAAAAAAAAAAAAAATATATTTTTTTTTTAAATTTTCATACTGTCACCAGTCAGTGTCCCTGATCACCGCCATGCCAGTTATATGATGACACTGTACTGCACTGGTGACAGTATGTAAAAAAAAAAAAAATTGTGAAAATAATTTTTTTAATTTTTTCATTTTCCGAAAAATTATGACAAAAAAAATATAACTTCAAAAAACTCACCATGCTTCTTATAAAGTACATCGGACTGTCTACTTTGCAAAAAGTGGTCATTTGGGGGATATCTGTACTGTTCTGACATTCTTGGACCTCAAGAAATTAGATTGGCTGTCAGTACTTCAGGATTGATCAATTTTCAGATCTATACCATAGTTTGTGAACTTTATAACTTTCTGACAAACTAAAAAATACATCCTAATTTGGGTTATTTTCACCAAAGACATGTAGCAGAATACATCTTGGCCTCAATTTATGAAGAACAATTATTTATTTGCAGACTTTTATAACAGAAACAAAGAAAAACTTGTTTTTTTTTTTTCAAAATTTTCGTTTTTTTTTTTTTTTGTTAATTTAGCAAAAAATAAAAACCCCAGTGGTGATTAAATACCACCAAAAGAAAGCTCTAGATGTATGAAGAAAATGATAACATTTTAGTTTTGGGTACAATGTTGTATGACCGCGCAATTGTCATTCAAACTGTGAGAGCGCTGAGACCTGTAAAATGGCCTGGGAGGGAAGGGGGTAAAAGTGCTCGGTATGGAAATGGTTAAATCTGGTGTATCACGTAATATCAGAGAAATTTGAGCAACATTGATTGGGGCAATGAAGCAGCCTTGACTAAAGCTATCACATAGCAGTTTTTTATTTTTATCATTCTAGTCTACATTCAAACACTGTTGCTGTTATCACATTTATTTCTTTTGAATTGATTTGTGCAGGACATGACTGCCAGGGACTTGCTGCAGCAAAGGTACACACTTCCAAATGGTGACACTGCCTGGCGACAATCTCCTTTGGTTACAGCTGCCTTGGAAGGAAAGCTTGTAATTCTTGATGGTATCCATCGTGTCAATCCAGGCACTCTATCCATTCTTCAGAGGTCAGTAACCGCAAGCTTTGATAAGCATTTTAGAAGACCAGATAAGGCTTAAAAATGATATCGTATACTGAGAGATGTAAAAATATATATGTAAAATGTGCACTTTAGCTCCCAAAACCTATTAGCAATCCTTATCTTGAAATTGTGAGGTTAATTATCACTTACAGCCTAAATGTGTAAAGCTGGTAATCATTGTCAGAATTAGTTTACCGACTTTTGACAATGCCGGGCCTAGCTGATGTTTGAAAGAATTAATTGTCCATTTTTTTGCTGTCCTAAAATTTTTAGGAACCTGACTTCTGAGAACCTGCTTTGCTATAATATTTAAGCAGAATTTGCATGTTGGGAGTCAACTTCAAGTGTTACTAAACCCGCAACAGTAAAGTCTGTATATGCAGTAAAGCCTGTTTGTTATACTCACTGTAGAACCTAAAGGGGTTAATCCTCCGCATTGTGTAAAAAGGAAGTTTGATCCTCCCCTTTTTCTACTGTCCCCATTCTATCTGCTAATAGACCAGAGCCTTGGGGACAAGCTGTCCATGCTCAGTCTGGTGAGTATTGCTAGAGAGGTTTTTTCTTCTCTGGGGAGCGTGCATGTGATCGGCACACGGTCAATCAACACTGTCCAGACAGATGGTCAGGGGTTATACAGCCTCATAGGACAATCAAGGGAAAATGAAAACTCTACAATCTTTAACCAATGCTCTGCTGGGCACTGATAGAAGTCACAAGTTTGCTGATGAGAAAAGGTATTTAGCAGTTTTTATTTACTAAAATAATTGCATTTCCATGTTCTGTGTACTGTGGGAGACCAGATATAGTGAAAGCGGGGTCCTTTGTTTAGTAACACGTTAAGGCATCATGGTGCAGAAACGTCAGATTTTCTGCACGCGTTCTGCAAGGGCACAACAAAATCAATTATTCTCTATCTGTCCTGTTCCTACCACAACACTAGTATCACATGCAGATTTTTTCTGTGCAAGAATCTGCAATGTGTATAAACGTATTAAAGCATGTATGAAAACTGATGTAAACTGATGTCTCTGCAAATATGCGCATCAGTTTCCATCAGTTTTTCTGCACACATGGTATGAACGAAGCCTAAGGTTGAAGCTGGTCAAGATCTGCTTGTTTCCCATACTATGATTTGTACTGTATTTGTTATTTGTTTTTGAACATTTCTTTCTCACTTATCCTCACCAACTTTACCACCAACACTGCATGAAGAGAGTCTTTTTTAAAACATGTAAAATAAAGGCATTAACAGTGTAACAGCATATACCCAGAGATGGATGCGGTTCAATCATTTTGGCTTCAACCTCCATCTTTGCGAAGGGGTTAACTGTCCTGAAATATATTTTTCCTTCATCCTCCCCCCTTCCTCTCTGTTCGGCCACAGTGACATCTGGTTGTGGGTCACTGGCAGGCTAGAGCAGCAGGGGGCCCAGAGCTACAAATCTTCCCCCCCAGGAGAGTTGGAGTCCCACTGTCCTGAGAACCTGTGTAATTTCACACCTCGTGACAAGATAACAGAGCCTTCCCAGGAGTTGAAACCTAGCTCAGCGTAGAATTAGATGAACACTTCTCAAATCAATTTTTTCCCTATGTCTCATATCTTGGAATATGAGAGACTTACATAAAAACCAGACACCTCGTCAGATGGCCAATGAGCAGGCGAACAGTTTGACGGGTCACTCGCTTATCTCGGACCATCAGGGAAGCCGAAACATAGAACTTGTGAACCGTGCAACATATCATTTCATAATTCATTTCTAAATAATCCCCAGACTTATCTGCATAATATTATACCCGCGGGTGCACTGTCGCTTGTGCAGATGGGAAGTTATGGATCAGAATATGAATTATGAAAGATGTTGGCTCCAGTTTAGGGTCCCGCCTGACGACCCCTCCCTGCACAGGGGATTGGTCTGTTACTTCAGAACCACCCCCTGCTGGGAAACTTTAAAACAGGCTGCCAAGCCTAAGTAAGTTAAAGACATCCCCCATTCTTAACATCAATATACCACCTGGGGAGACCTGTGCCTTTCGCTCTGAAACGGGATCTGCTTCCATCCAAGGCTTATTGGCAAGTAACTTAACCCTTTAACTTCTCCCTGTTAGCTCTTTGATGTGCTGTGCTGTTTTCTATGTATGTATGTATATATATATATATATATATATATATATATATATATATTATATATATCTTAGTTACATCTTCTCTGTAAATATTTTTACTGCACCTGTTTGACCTTTTTAGTAATAAATCTTTCTTCTGAAAGTGTTGAACTGTTTCTATGCTCTTAATTGCAATTTACGAATCCGTGCCTTTAAAGAGATGCTACTGTTGGTTTAACTCTCTGTATAACCGGACTGCGTCAATGACCGGGTTATGCGGACGATTATTTAAATTATTATAGTGTTATAGCGATATTGCGAGTTTCCTCTTTCTCTGAACAAAAAGGAGGTGGTGGCAGTGTGAAGGGGTTAATTGCGTAATTAACCTGACCCAGTAACAATCGATTCAGGCTGCTGGCACATCGATCGGTACCCATTAGCTGGAAAATTGTTGTGCAGAGTGCAGCTGGGTGTGGCATTGTTACGCACGTCACATCGCGGTTTTAGGTCGGCTAGCCCTTCGGTCACGGGTTTTGGTGAGAAGGTCTGGGGTCTGACGCCGCAATCGTGACAAACAGCTCATTTCAAACTATTATTGTGCATTCCTTTTCACTGGTAACTCGTGATCTACCTGTTTAGTTGTATGCTCTATAGATCCTGTGTCTTCTGAGAGTTTTTATTTGTATTAAGATGTTCTTGATTTAAGGGTGATGACAAAATAGACCAAGTAACCCTATCTCAAGTGCATATTCAAAAAAGATAGAGTACAAGTTATGCAAGTTCTGGAGGCTATGCTGCATTCTTAAAGTTTAACTTAAATGTATCTGAGCACCACAAACTGAAAAAGCTGTTTAATTCATTTTTAATATTCAAAGCAAACTCACCCATTCATCGTTGTCTCTGTGCTTTATTTTGTTGAGAATCCTAATCCCGAACATTTGGATTAAAAATAGTTACATTTGATTGAGAGAGTTTTGTTCCACTGTAAGTCTGAAAAAGAAAATGTAGCCTCTGAAATGTATATAGAGCTCCTAAGTAATTTTTTACTCAGTTCATATGCCTTTAGTAGTAAAGACTGAAAAGATTACGCTCTTTGCTTAAAAAGTATTGCTGCAAAATCCCAACGCACATGTTCCTGCATTGGACAACGGCTGTATATATAGTGGGTGCTGTAGCGACCAATGGCTGGAACTGTGATACATCAAGAAATAGAAATATCGCCAGCACAGTCTTTTTCTTAAAAAGAACCCTTACCTATGTGATTTGGATATCTATTGCTACTTGCCTGTAAGGGGCACCTCTGCTCACTGTAGGAGAAATCATTGGTAATCATTGGCACATTGATGCAGGATTCAGCAAAAGTTTGGGGTGTCACAGTATGACCATTACATTTGTAGAACGCAGCTATGCTATTTAGTGTTTTAGTCAGTACAGCATATGTAATAACTTTTATTGTTTATTGGTGTGTCTTCCAAGTCTTTATTCTTTATCCTACCTTTGCTTGAATGTAAATAACATTAATATACTAAAAACCTCTAAAGCATAGAGTATATGCAACATCATTCTATATAATACAGCAGAGCTAAGGAAGTCGTGTAAAGCAAATCAAAGTCCACTTTCACTGCTTAGTAAGTATATGGGATCTAGCTTCACCATTGTTAGATTGTTCTGCTTTTGCAATATTTATAATTTTTTTTTACAGCTTTATACAATATTTATTTATGCTTATTGAAGCCTGATTAACAGCTCTTGCAGTTAAAACAGTCATTAGCCTGGAATTCTTCATACTTATTTTACATAGTATATGTAATCATGGCCTGGGATTATAGGTTATATTTTATTCACATAGGAAGAATCATGCGACAAAGCTTACTGTTGAGTTCTACTCATAGTTCTCAATCTTGGTCATCTGTGTATAAGACAAGGTCCAATAAAAATAAGCCATGCAACCAGTTTGAGCATCTTTTTGTGACAGGGTGGGTCACATAGTGGCGCAGTCTGCAATTGTGAAAAGTGTTGGAATATCGCTGGATAAATGTTGGAAAATTGCATTGTGAATGAGAAGAAAAGGATAAAAAGCTTTGATTTTTTTTCTGTGCCATTTGTCAGCCAGCCCATATTGGGGCCTAGCAGCATGCAGGTCATCCAAGAACTGGCAGATATCTTGGCACCTGTCATTTTGGGTTAAACATACACTGGTAGGAAATACAGTGAATGGGTAATGATGATGGAGAAGAAAAGAAATATGAACATTATTACATTTCATTATCTTGGAAATGAGCATAGGTTCAGTAACAAAGTATTTATTTAAATGCTTGTGTCAGTAATTCTGCAAATACTTTGTTGCGTTAAGGTGACCATAGATGGACTGAAACTCGACTGGTTCAGCAGGGACCGAATACATTTCAATTCATTTATGGACAGACTGGTTTCCCCTCGATCGACTTCTGTACAACCAGCCTATCAGGATTTTTTCGCCCAATCCATGCCACCAGTTATAGCCAGCAGCACTGATCATTGTATTCTGCCAGCAGAGATGACTCCCTGCTGACAGAATACAATGATCAGTGTTGCCTTCTATAGCAACACAATAGTGCTACCGGAGTGGTTCCCCCATCCACATCAAATGTGGATGTATAATGTATGGCCTGCCTTAAACCACGTCAGATGATCTGAGTAGGAGAGTTTTCATCAACTTGTTAATGCAGCCATTTGCATGTAACATTTTTTCCCAATGTTTTTACAGGCTAATTCATGACAGGGAGCTTACTTTGTATGATGGTACCAGGCTACTTCGAGGAGATAGATATCAGTTTTTAAAGAAGGAACTACAAATTTCAGATGCTGAGCTACAAGAAAGGTATTTGTATACAGAAACGTGAAACTTTAAAGCTTGACACAGACGTTGCAGTCTTTTTGTAATACATCCTCTAGATTTACCCGCATCTATATAGTACAAGGATATATCTAAATAATCTGCTCATTACAAGATATTCAACAATTTGATTGTACCAGGTGTTTCTGGCTTTTGTGTAGTTTTTTGTTTTTTTTCTTTACAAGTTACTAAAAATGACCACCAGTTAGGCATTTAAAGTGATACCAAACACACACTGTTTAGTTTACATTATCCCTTCTCTTTCTGTATATGGATGATGGTACCTTAATTATTTTCCTAAGCGATATTCACCTGTCACATAACCCTGCTCTTTCTTAGTCTGTCTGCAGGGAAACATCAGCAGGAGGAGCTTCTAGTCCTCTGCTGCTGGTCACATATTCCAAAAAAAAAAAACAACTAAATAACCTTTAGAATACAGAGTAAAAATAAATAATATCAATAAACTTTTTTAAATTGTCGTACAAATATATATTTGAAATCAAATTTTTATTATGTTTGACGATAACATGGTGTTGGTAGATTTCTGCCAATCATAGGCTGTGTTCTGTGTCTATTGTGTGTATGTCTTAGAATAACAGGGAGGTCTATTTACATCATGTCTGGCACTAGATATGGCTGTCCCCTTTCTCCCCTCTTATTTATCATAGCTATTTAAACCCTAGCCATAGTGATTTGTTCCCTTCCATGTATTCTGGGAATAGACAGTGGGGATAGACAGCAGAAATGTGCATTGTTTGCAGAAGGCCTATTGCTCTTTATCACCTCTCTACATACCTTTCTCCCGTTGGTTCTGGATCTTTTGAGACATTTCAGCAGCAAATATGACCTACTGGTCAATTAGGAAAAGTCTGAAGCTTTAAATATCAGTTTGGATGCGTATGTCCTGCAGAGCTTGAAGAGTCAGTCAATATAGTTTTAATTATGGCAAATTACCTCCCTACCTTATCTTGAAATAAAATTGACCCCTCCTGTAGCCAGACTTTATAAGGCCAGTTTCTCTTTTTGATCGATTGTTATGGGAAGTGGAGCAATGGTCTAGTGCTCTGTCTTGGAATGGTAGAATTGCATTAGTTAAAATAGTTACCCAGGGTAATTATTTTCGCACCTTGCCAGTAGCAATTCCAACTAAATAACTCCAAAAATTTCAGGCCGAATTATTGAAGTTCATTTGGGCTCTCAAGGGCCAGAGACTAGCTCAGTGTAGTTTGTACACCTTAAGAGAGAGTTTGGATGGTTGGAGGTTTTCGAATTTAAACGGTATTTTAGGGCGGCATGGGTGCCAAAATTATCTCAAATATATTCTAAATCTTAGAGAACAGAGTGGATTACTCTGGAATTATAGGCCTGTGCCCACCTACCTGTGGATCCACTTCAAAACATCAGAAAGCGATCCACTGCCCCACACTCTCCCACACTTTGCAAGTATGAGTTGTTTCCTGCAAATTGACACTGCTTCAGTCTCTCCATAATCCTGTAGTGCCAATATTCTTAACTCTGCCTTCCTACACGGCCTTAGCCCATATGATTTCTAATGGTGGGTGAATAAGGGACTTTACCAAATAGGCCACTTCTTTGATCATAAGGTTATTTACTTAAACTCATATTTTTTCCCAGCAGTTGGGGATGCCGCCCTCTGAGATGTTCCGCTTACAGCAGATTCTAAATTTTTTTTTTATGCAAATTACAGCAACTCACTAATGATATCACCACACAAACAAAAATAGATATTTCAGACCTTGATATTCTTCACATTTATTGTGGCAAAAATTGCAATAGCGACTTCCTGGAAAAGCCCAGTAGTGGATATCACATTACAACTCTAGACCATTCAGAAGATACGCTATTTATCACTACCCTTTGGACACACTCCTGTAAAAAGTTTTCTATCTAAGTACATACACTATCGCCAGTGCTAACAGACCTCAATTTTTAAAATTAAGTGTTTATGGGGTACTATGTCAAATGCTTTGGCAAAGTCCAGATGCACCACTTCCAAAGACCAAATTATAGCTTACCTCTTCTTGGAATGTTAAGGTTGGTCTGGCAAGAATAGTCCTTCATAAAACCATGCTGGTTACTACTAATGATACTATTTTCATTATCAAATTATTGAATAATAGTCTGTTATCATCCCCTCCAATAGTTTACATACTATTGATGTTAGGCTGATTGGTCTGTAGTTTCCAGGAATATATCTCGGCCCTTTTTTGAATATTGGTACTACCTCAGCTTTTCACCAGTCATCTGGTACCATTCTGATCAGTAAACTGTGCTTTTAGATTAGGAATAACAGTCTAGCAATAATCTGGCTAATTTCCTTGAGGACATTCGAGTGTAAGCCATCTAGTCCTGGTGAATTATTCACACGTTTTGAGCACTGTCTTCCACAATTAGAGAACATTCAGTGCTGTGTTCATTACAATACCATCTTGTCTATTATAACCCTTCCTTTTCCTTAGAAAAACTAAAAACTGAGAGCAGAATGTATTTAACACAGTTGCCTTCTCCCTGTCCCTTGTAACCAAACTCCCCTGACTATCTTTTATGGGGTCAAAATGCTCCAGCTTTGCCTTTTTACTATTAATTATAATTGAAATATATTTGGGATTGTTTAACTCTAGTCTGCTATGTGTCTCTCAAGATCTTATTTCATAGCCCTGATCACGCTCTTACATTTCTTATTGCCTAACTTATAGTGTTGGAATTCTGACAGTGGCCCCTCTTCCTTATATTATTTAAAGGACAATTTTTTCTCTTTAATATGCCTTTTTACACTTGAATTTAGCCACCCAGTTTTCACTTTAATTATTTTATATTTGTTGCCCATTGGCATACACTAGCTGACACCATTAAGTAATACGTGCTTAAAGCTCTCCCACTTTTACTCCATCTTTTTTGTGACTAGAATATCCTCCCATTTAATGTCAGGAGTGTGGAGCACAGTTTGGTAAAGTTGGCTTTCTTGAAATTCAATATTCTTGTTCTACCCTTGTGTCTCTTTTTCCTATGATTTGCGGTGAATATGTGATCACTGTTTCCTAGGTTATCACATCTACATCTTCAATCAGCTCTGTGTTGTTTGTAATTAGTAAGTCAAGCAGAGCCTTATTTCTAGTTGGGCATCCAACATTTGACACACAATATTGTCCTGTAAGATATCTAAGAGACGATGAGCCTTAGATGACTAAGTAGTTCTGTTTGCTCAGCCAGTATCTGGATAATTGAAGTCCCCCATGATTATAACATTGCCCTGCTGCACTGTCATTTCTGTCTGACTACAGTATCACCTTCTGATCCTCCCTCACTACCTGGAATAGATTCCATTGATTACTTTGATACACTAACTGATTAATTGACACTGACATCAATAGTGGCACTAATACAGTGATCAGTGCTAATACGATTCACTGTTACATAGTTAGTCTGGCTGAAAAAAGACAAACCTCCATCTAGTTCAATCATAAAAAGCCCTCAAGTGCATAACCTTACTCATATGTAATATTTCATATTTGCCTTACTAAAAAAAAAAAAATCACACGTATTATGTTATTTTAAATCTTGGGCATAATAAATTTACTGGAGTTGAAGTCAATAACAGCAGAGACAAATCAAAAACTAAAAAAAACCCAATGTGACTAATGCTCACTAAGCAATCACCAACATAATAATAATAGATACTAGATATTGATATTAGTATCTGAACTTCTTCACATACACAAAAAATAGGCACATCTCCCCTTGTCTGCCGTTCACTGAGACTTTCTACAAACTAGATTTTTTTCTTAAGATCTCCTTTAAAGGAGAATCACAGCCAAAGCTCTTTTGGCTGCACTTCCCCTGTGGATCACAGCAGTGCAGTTTGTTCTGCACTCTTGTGACCCATTTTCAGCCGACAGCGGTCCAAGCTAGGGATCCACCCCAAAGACTGGAGCGGCACCTGGCTCAGCTTCTCAGTGATGTGCTAAGAACCTGAGCCAGCTCCTCCCTCTCCCTCCACAGCCCAGTGATCCAGTGAGCACTGGGGGAGCAGCAGAGCAGAGACTGGTGACTGACAGACCCACTCTCTGCTCAGAGCAGCTGTAAGAACTCATGTGATCACTGAGTACTCACCCTTGGAACTGGCAGGGGGACAGATGCAGCATCGGAGCGATGTTGCATCCACCTAGGTAAGTATAACTGGCCAAAAAAAAAAATCCCATATTTCTCTTTTAACCACTTGTTGACCGCTGAACGTACAAAAACATCCTTGCTTTGAGTGCTCATAACAAGCTTGGTATCATTTTTTGACAATCATCTATTCAGTAAGAGCGATCTGGGCAGCTCCACAGCTCAATCCCTTTTATGGTACTGAGAAGGGCCACCTGCTCTTCACCTCCACCCAGGGGCGGACTCGCCATTTGGAAACTCGGGCACTGCCCGAGTGCCCGGGGTCAGTAGGGGGCCCCATGAGATGCCCCTGGTACCTTTTTCATAGGCTTTTTTGAGTTTGGGCAAGGACACAGGGGCCCCATGATCCCCTATTGCCCGTGGGCCCCATGAGTTGTCAGTCCGTCCCTGCCTCCACCTATGGTGGTCCCTGGGCTCCCCAGTTCCACTGTGAAATGGCAGGGATAGCAAGCTACAGAGAAGATAGAGGAACATCCATTCAGAAATCTCCTCTGTGATGAATGAAACTGGAAGCAATAATGATTTAGTCACTTCCAATTTCAGAACTGTCACTTCTTGGCTGCTACAGCCAGGAATGCAGCAAATTAAGCATGATCTGTGCTTAGTTAGCTGTATTGGAAGGCAGGAGAGATATCAGGGGTCTAATATACCATAAAAGTGCATGTCACATGCCCAAATCTATCACATAGTTAGTCTGGCTGAAAAAAAGAAAAAAGCCCATCCAGTTCAACCATAAAAAAAAGTTATAATCTTATACCTACAGTTGATCCAGAGGAAGGCAAAAAAAAAAACCAAGC